CTAATCCGCTAGCTCGATTACTGCCTGCAGGAAGAGCGAGCGAGAAACCTGCAGGAGGGAACTTAGGGACGGGGAAAAAGGTCGCAGGTCTTCTTGGACTGCCCTGATCCCGGCTCTGGTGCGGTGGGGACGGCGTCGATGGCGTAGGGCGGCCCCGACGGTGGTTCCTTCTCGCCAGGTCCGTGGTTCAACTCTCTATAACATACGAAAACGACTATTACTATGATTATAAATAGGTTTTTAAAATTAAGCATGCAGATTGCACTATGCAAAAATGCGATGCTCAAGCGAAAAGGTGCAAAAATGCAGAAGAAAGAAAGGGGGTTGCAAAAGTTCATGCTTCCTGGTCATGCAAACGCGCGCGGGGAACGTCTCTGTGCATGCCATGCGTAAGCCACTTTTTGGGGGGGTTCGCTGCACTCGCGGCGCCGGTACGCGGTTGGTTTTCACTCGAGGCCCGTCGAGCTCACTTCCCACGTCGGCGTGCCTTGAATACACTTCCTCTTGAATTCTTTCGTTTATGCGACGCGTCGCGGTGCCGGACGTAGATCGTCGAGATGGATGCGCGCATGCGCGCCGTCCCTTTCGACGGTATACGTCGTCTCTCCCTCTCGACGCACGACGCGGTGTGGTCCTGTCCACTTGGCGCAAAACGGATCGGCGGATGTCCCTGGCCAGACACGTGTCATGACCTCCTCACCGACGGCGAATTCTAGCGGTGCTTCTCGGGGTTCGGGGTAGAGATTCCGCTGAAAAATCTGCTGGCGGTCCCTGGCTCTTCTCATCCGTTCATTACGGGCCTCTACCGTGCGTTGAGCGGGTGGCGCGACCTGCGGGGGTATCACCCATTCGCCGGGGCGTTTGAGCAAACCTCCCGTCATGATCTCGCTGGGCGTCATCCCCGTGGAGGCGTTGGTTCTATTCCGGAGTACGAACAGCGTTTCGTTGATGTAGGCGTCCCACCTACGATCTGCGTCACGTCTGGTTCGTAGCACCTTTTTGAATTCTTGAACCCGGCGCTCCACTGGGTTCGCCCGCTGGTGGTAGACCGCGGCGTAATACGGGGTAATCTGCATCTCCTCCAGGTACCTCAGCCATTGTCCTCCGCGGAAAACTCCTCCGTTGTCTGTTATGCACGCTTGTGGATACCCCCATTTCGTGCAAATGTCTTGGACGAAGGCTCGCATCTCCTGGTGGCGTACTCGCGGTACGGCGATGGCCTCCACCCATTTGCTGAAGATATCCACAGCGATTATAACGTACTTGTTCTTTTGGCGTGTTTCCGGATACGGCCCTAGAACGTCAAAGCTCCAGGTGTGTGCCGCATCCGTGGGGACTCGAGGTCGGAGCGGAGCCCTAGGCTGCCCGTTTCCGGCCTTGGTTGACGCGCATACGAGGCACGCTTTGACGTGGTCGGCGACTGCTTCTCGCATGCCGCGCCAGTCATAGTACCTCTGGATGGCCCGAAGTGTTTCGTCTCGCCCTGGGTGTGCGGCGAGTACGGCGTCGTGGTAGGCTTCTACAACTTCCTCCTGCATTGTACCTGGTACGTACAATGCGCGGCGATCGCCATATCTCCTCCAGATATAGCCTCGCTCGAAGATGTAGGCCTCGGCGATACGACGCTCCGTCTCCGTTTCGGGGCCATCGCGCTGTATGCGGTACAGCCTAGCCCTGTCTGTACGACACTGGTCGTCTTCGCCTTGTGCTCGCTGAACGCGCTCGAACAGCGGCACGTCTTCGGCGGGTAGCCCTCCAAGATTCGGCGGTTCCTCTTGGATCTCTTCTTCGACGGGTTCATCTTCGTCGTTCGCTTCCTCAACGTTTTCTCCCTCGTTGGACCGGTTGTCATCTTGTCCTCCCGGTGCATTCACTGCACGTACGTGGTCACCATCCTCGACGAGCTGGAGCTCCTCTTGCTCCAGCGGCGGATTTTGTTCTCGGCCTGCGTCTTCCTCGACGTGGTTCACGACCGGGTACATCCTGTCGTCGGTCTCGGGTGGACATTCTTCACGCGCTTCCTCCTCGGGGTTCCGTGATAAAAAGTCTGGTAATTCGTTTACGCGACCTGGTACGTGGACGATACGAAACCGGTATCCTTGTAGCATTAAGGCCCACCGGGTTAATTTCGTTTTCTCGTCTTTGTACCGGTCTAGCCAAAGAAGTGCTCTACTATCCGTGTAGAGGGTGAACTCGCGGTCCTCCAGGTGTTGACGATATTTCCTAATACCGAAAATCACCGCAAGGGCCTCTTGCTCGTTCACGTGGTACCTCGACTCGGTTTTCGAGAACTTCGATGACGCGCAGGAAATTAATCTTCTGGTGCCGTCGTCGTTTTCCTGGAATAGCACGGCGGCCATTCCTACGGCGCTGGCGTCGGTCTGCAGACAGTAAGGCAGGCCGGTTTTTGGCCTGTGCAGGGGCTCGTGGTGAACTAAAGCAAGCTTGAGCTCGTCAAAAGCCTCCTGCTCCCTAGCTGTCCAGCGGAACCGTCGGTTTGCATCTAACAGATTTGTCAGAGGAGCTGCCAGTAAGGCGAACCGCGGCACGTATTCACGTAACCATCCGGCAAGCCCGAGGAACTGTCGCAACTCCTTGACGTTTTTCGGCGGCGCGTGTTCTTGTATACGCGTAAGGTGCCGTTCTTGTGGCAGATTGTGGTTCTTGGTGACGATGTGCCCTAGGTACTCTATATGCGTCGCGGCGAAGCTGCACTTCTCGGGTGAGACGCACAGTCCGTGTTGTCAGAGTCGTTCGAACACCAGTCTGAAGTATTCTACGTGCTCCTGCGGCGTCTTACTATAGACGATGATGTCGTCTAGGTACACCTTCACGAAACGATGTAATTGGCCTCGCAGTACTTCCGTCATGAGCTTCTGGAAGGTACCTGGAGCTCCAGATAACCCGAAGGGCATGACGTTGAACTCGTAGCTGCCGCCGTCTGGTGTTGTGAACGCCATGTATCGCTTAGACGTCTCGTGTACAGATACCTGCCAATAACCAGCCTTAAGGTCTAGGGTCGTGAAGTACTGTGCTTCACCCAGCTCCTTAAGCGTGTCGTCAATTGGGGGTAATGTGCCTGTTTCGACGAGCGTTTTTTCATTCAGCTTACGGTAATCCACACAGAAGCGCTGGCTACCATCCTTCTTCTTCACAAGCAGGGCTGGTGAATTGTACTCTGATGTACTTCGTCGGATCACCCCCTGTTGCAACATTTCTTCACAGGCCTTGTTAATTATTCGTTTCTTTTCCTCCGAACATCTATATTGTGGTGTATTTACGGGGTAGTCGTTGCGTAGAACTATGCGATGTTCAGCTAGTTTCGTCGACGCCGGCCTAGGCTCGATCGAGAACACATCCATGTACTCGCCCAGGACCTCCTGGCACTCTTCTTCGAAACTAGGCGGAATCTTCTCGCATAGTATTTCCCATATTTCATCCCGTTGTTCGTTATTTATTTCAAGTGGCGTCCCATTCCAATATACGCAGCGGCGTCGTTCGCGTCCATAATAGATCATCCCCTAGGAGAAGTCCATTACGACGTGGTGCTCTAGTAACCATGGCCGACCCAGTATGCATTCCTCGCAAAGGTCGTCGACCAGGAGCATTTCAGTAGAGAGAGTCGCCACGTCCAGCGTGAATTCCACATCCGTGGTCCCGCTGGTCTCTACGTTGGCTCCTTGGCTAGCTAGTTGCACGCGAGGTCCATTTTCATTTCGTCTGTGCTCGGCGAATTCTGTCCGCAAAAGGTTAACGCCTGCCCCAGAATCCACTAGGGCGGTGATCCTCCGGCTTCCTAACTGTAAAGTTAGCCGGGGTCCCCGCGGGGGTGTTGCTCTCGCGCAGAGGCGCGCGGTGCCGGCCTAGGCTCACTCGAAGCTGCGGGTGCCTGTTGATATGCCAGATCGCCCTCGATCTGGGATATCACGCGCATTAGCTCTTCGGTTGTGCCGAAGTGTCCTAGACGCGCGTAGGTACGGAGGTTTGGTCTCATCTGTTCGATGACGATCTGCACCCTTGCCGCCTCCGCGTCGCAGGTGCCAACCGCTCGAACAGCGCGACTTTCTCGGTGATAAACGCCAGGACGCTCTCACTCGGGCCTTGTACTTCCCCGTACAATTTCCGGGTAAGGTCGCAAAGCGTTGCCACACCGTTATACTCCTCCTCGAACTTCCTGGTGAACGTCTCGTACGTGACGCCCACTGGCTGCCTCGCAAGCCAACGCTTGGCCGGCCCGTGCATGGTGCTGCGCACCGCTCGCATCCGGTGCTCGGCCTCCACGTCGTGTTCTACGAAGTGCCTCTCCAGCCTTAGCAGGTACTGCTCTGGGTCTTCGTCCTCCCTGCCGTGGAAATCAAATTCTGGCTTTTGGGGGAACTGCTGCCGTTGCAGGGCCTCTGTCCGCTCGGTTAATGCTGTGATGGCTAACAGCATCGCGCGAGTGGCCAGCCGCTGCTCGACATCAGCGCTGATATCGTTACCGCGCTCCTGGCTACGCGGCGTCGTGGATCGTCTGGGGGCGGCGACAGGCATCTCGCCGGGTCCTGTCGCGTCGAGTGTCCTCCAGGTCAGGACTCCTTGTTCGAGTTCTTCGATTTGGGTAGTTTCGGGGGTCGATGTCCTTCCGGACATCCTCGCCGTCCAGCTACTTTCAAGCATATCCCGCCATCTCGGATAGCTTGTAGCTGGCTCGTGCGTGGCCCCTACACGTTGGGCGCCATTTCTTCAATGCTCTGGCTCCATATTGGAAATTTGATGGGGGATGTTCTTAAAACCCTACCCTGCTTCTCTTAAGGACCTCCCTGTGCCGGTGGTGCGCACAGCAAAGTCCCTAACGCGAAACGCGAGCGCGAATCTTCACCACCTCATCAGTTTCCGGAAACTGGCCGCACGTAAGCCCGGTTTACGACGTGCCAGTCGAGCACGAAGCTATATTTCACGGGTGACCGATGGTCGTCTTTTTCTTGCTTGGGCCTAGTCGCTTCCTCGAGGGCGGCTTACTGTCGCACCCTGTCGTTAGAACGCTGACTCTGTCTTGGTGCTTCTAGGGCTTAGGGCAGACGCCGGCGTCAAACCCAGTGCAAAGCCTCTTGGTGAGTTGCTCCTGTTCTTGCTTTTGTGGGGGCCAAGAGACCGTAAATCCTTGCAGGCGCTCGGCAACGGTCAATTAGCTCCACTGATGGTAAATCCCTCGTTGAGGCACACGATTGCCACGGCGGAAAAGTTTATAGTCCGCAATAAAAATCACAGACTGAATTCTTTAGTTTTTAATTCGCAATGAAAATTGCGAATGTCGTAGATAGACTGTTGTCAACGAATTCTTATTGTGAGTCAATTGCTGGTCGGTGCTCAGACAACTGACTCTTGGAATATCCTGTATATCACGTAGCGAATGAATTTAATTATAAATTACCGCGACCTCAGTGGCGAGTAATTTAGAAAATACGAGAATTTAGGACGTAGAAATTATGTAGCGCATGCGGCAAATTACATGTGAAAAACCTCACGGGGTTTAATGCAATGCAAAGGGCTTAAATGACTTAATTGCTCACGGCAAAATAGCTCAGTTCGAACTTGCGAGTTCGAAACTTTCGTAGAACGATAAATTACGATGCACAACCTCACGGGGTTGTGGTCAGCGCGGAATGAATCCCTGTTCCCTTTTTCAGGGCCTTTTTATAAGGTTCGTTACGTCACAAAACCGTTACTTCGGCGCGGGAGCCAATCACGTTGCGCCGAAGTTGTAACGGTTTTTTCGTTCTGGCGGGAAGCGCCCGTCGTCCACGACAGGTCTTATGGTAAAGGTTTTGCGTGATTCTGACCATTGGCGCATACCACTCGACGTTTTAAAAGAGTCTCCTATCCAAGTTATTTTGGGATTACTGTAGATAATCTGTTTCAATTTTATATAACTGAGAAATTGAAGGAATAAGTTAATTAATTTTTTTCTAAAAGTTATACCTACTTTATTTCTTTTGTCAATACTATTGGTTTTAGATGCAATGTAAGGTGATATATTTCGAATATACAAATGAGTGCATTTACTTAATATGAATTAACATAAATAAAATTATGTATAAAATACAACACTAAATAAATAGGGGAAAAGGAGAATCTTTTATTTCATGACGGACCCTTATTCCTCATAGTTAAGGTAAGTTCATGCAGTAGCGATATGCGATTTGCGGAATTTGATAGGTTGAAATAAAAGATTTTTGACAGCCATTTCTTCATTTCAATATATTCCGAGAATCGCAAAATTTAAATATAGGGGGCGGGAAAATAGAAACGGTTTCTATTTTTGGCGATTATCGCAATAATTTTGACAAACTGCGCATGTGCAGTCCGGCCAGTTCCGTAATTCACAAGTAATTAAAATACTTATTAGTATCATGTAACCTCACACCTCATCTCATTTCCATTACCAAATTATGATAATAACAGATGGTAATCTGCACGATGAAAATGAATAGTTACCTAGCTGAAACTTCTTAAAACGCATAACATTTATGTTTATAAGAGAATTAATCTTCTCTTTTCTACATTATTTGTAAAGTGAAAAGTTGAAAAGTACTTTAAAAAAATAGTCCTCCGGTCTTTCCTATTTTAAAATAACGCTCTCACGGCACAAGATCATTTCTGACATGCAATCATCTTCTACGCTATTGACAATAAATAACATATGATAATCACTGTTATTTATCACATTCATCGTTGAAGAATGTTTATTTATGAATGTCTTGGTATCACAGATTATTAATATTGTATTGTCTAATGTCCTGCGTATGTAATCACAAAAATATTTTGTGAGTTTAGGTTATGCTGCTTAATTTTGTTTACCCAAGAATATCTAAAATTCTTGGCTGTGGCATGGCATGGCATGGCAAGGCAAGTAACACAAGAAATTTAAAAGTTAAAAGTAACTAGTTTTCGCGAATGTGCATGAACGTATGTTAAATTTTTGTCGCATAAATCGTAAAATCGTTAATCGCAACTCGCAAATCGATGCTGCATGAACCTACTTACCCTGTATATATATATTTGCTGATGATTCGAACTCATCATTTCCCTTTATTTGGTTGTTAGTTTTGTGCTTTTTTGGTTGTCTTCTTTGGTGGTTAGTTTTGTTCTTTAAAGAAAGTGTTAAAAATACTTACTTATTTGTAATTAACATTAACAATGTGAATCTGTGAACATTTGTGCATAAACTAGTGCTATACGATAACACACGCACACACAATAAAAAAACTGGTCTGTTCCAAAGACTGGATATACTTTACGAATTGCCAACATTTCGACTCGATCTGAGCATTTCGATGCAAATGATGAACTTCTACCAACAACTTCGATAGTAGACGTCGAAACAAGTTATAGAATACCGATGTTGCCCAATTTCGATTTGATGGGTTGATCTCGATTCGATTTTATACATTTCTATTCGATTAGGAGTTATAGAATAAGGCTGAATATTCGTTAATAACTTTTTTTTTCTTACGGGCAATAATGACAACAATTTTTTATCTGATAGGTGATACGATTTAGAAGTTTTTGGGCCTCTTGTAGAATTTTGTTTAAATGAACGGTTTGGGTACAAAAAAAAATCTACAATAAGATATACCATATCCATATCGAAGTGACAAAACATGTCACTTCGATATGGATACACACACACGTACATACGACGAATTATTTACAACATGCCTAATTTTATTGAGATAATAGTAAAAACAATCAAATACAATAAAAAATGCTGGAGATAAAAGTAACAAAGTTGATGTTATTAGATTTAGTACAAACTTATTATAAAAACTGGTCAAAATGACCACCGTTGCTTCTACAACAAACTTTAATTCGGCGAAGAAAGTTAAAGGACACCCTTTGCAGTTTTTGAGGGCAATTGTTTAAAACATTTATGGCAATTTGCATGTCTCCCACATCTCTTCTTCAGTGTTCGATGTGGAAGCATACATTGTTGTAAAATACCCCAAAAATAATAGTCGCAAGGTGTTAAGTCTGGTGAACGAACATGCCAGTTAACAGGACGGACCGACGGATCAACGAGGAAATCTTTAATTTAAATACTGCCGGACATTGACAGTGAAATGTGGTGGAGCTCCATCATGCATAACCACATGTTAGCTCTGAGTAATAACGGCACACCTTCCAATAACTCAGAAAAGTGTTTTGCAAAAATTCTAAACAAATTTCGCCATTCAGTCTGTTGGGTAGAATAACAGGGTAAATAATAATGCTATCAATGCGTTGTATTTGATTGTTTTTTCTAATTTTTTAATAAAACTAGGCACGTAAATAATTCTAATTCGTCATATGTGTGTATTCATATCGAAAAATAAAGTAACAGGTATGGTATATCTCACTGTCGTAAACACTCACTAAGAATTGTCCGGTACAATGAGTTAAAATCAGATTGAAATTACAGTCAATCTACAAAATCAGTGCCTACTAACACTTATGGGTGGCACGATACCTAATGTAGATATTTAAAAAATATTTTTTT